TGAGATTCCAGAGAATAGTTCCAGATGGTGTAGCTGTGCATAAAACACACAACCAAGTGCTCCTACCTGGATCTTTTGTCAGCAGGCGTCTTAAGATTTGATGTCAAATAAGAGTTCTGCCTCGAAACTGTGCAGGGATGAGGGACAAATACTTGTGAAATGAGTCTTGGCAAGCTGTCGAGATTATGCAACGGTTGTTAAGGATATATAGGACATTTCTGGCCAAAGCATATTTAAGTTCTATGTTAACTGGTTGGTTTCTAGGAACTTGTCTGGCCTACCTAATTAAAAAAAAAAAAAAAAGTGGGAGAGTTCTAAAATCTTCCCTTTAGGTTTATAGTGGATGGTTTTGAAGTCTGCTGGTATAGAGCTCATTTGTTAGATCACATGTCACTATGTAGAATGAACCCAGCTGTAAGTTCCTGGTGAGAATTGTAACAGGGTCATTGGCTCATCTCCTGGGATACCTGTATGAACACAACTTTTGGCTAACATGGTGGAAAGGAAGGTTTCCTCCTGATTTGTGATGGGTTGCTTGAAGGGCAATCTTTGTCTACTGTTCATGTTGGACAGATGATACTCTGAAATCACTTTTTCAGTCCACTTGTTAGATTCACTTGAACTTTCTTATTCCTAGTCAAGGGAGAATCAAATGGGTCCCTCCTTGGCAGCAACTAATAAAATCTGAAACAATGCTTTTAGTCACTTTGCAAATTTAAGCATGTTTTTAGGTATGCTCCAAATAAGTTAGGGAACTCTAGATTAGAAATGGTATGTGGGTGTCAAAGAAGGAGCAAAGCATGTCAGCATGAAAGAAGTTGGAGATTCCAGGTGTTGGATTTGAAGTGCAAAACAATAGGGAGAGTGAAGAATGATTGACACCCTGTTGGACAGATGGGCATGTTTTTGTAGTTTGCTCAGCTTCCATTTTTGCCTGCTTTATGTAAAGACACAGATCTCTGTCTGGAGTAAATGGGTATGAATCTGCCGACTTCAGCGTAGCTGGACTACTTCATGCGTGGTGGGCACCTGGCCTGCATACAAGACAGTTACCTAATGGAACTAGAAACAGCTCAAAAGCTGCTTAGATCAATTTTTGCCCTTTGAGCTTTTGATTAAAACAAAGTAGAATTTAAACTAAGTAGCTGTATTTTTTGTGGATGAGTCATACAGATTTGCTGCAAATGTTTTGTGAATACCTGGAGATGTTTTACTTTGAATTATTAGGATAGCCTGGGTCTTTATATCGTGACGTTGTGTGATGTCAAAACTGCCTCTGCCTGTTGAAGAGAGGATGCAGGAATTCTTGGGGCTGATTCAGGTGTGCACTGTGTGTATATTATGAGGGACATGGTGGTCTCATTTGAATAAACTGTTCATGGATAAGATCAACCATGGTAACTAGCCAACTTCATTGCAAAATCCAAAATTATGTGCACCTGCATTCTGCAGATTAGGCTGCAGATGTCAAACACCACTTGCTGTTCACAATCTGTCCTGGTTGCCAGCTACCAACTTGAGAATGAATTTTCTTTAAAAGGCAGTTTTCTGAGATGCAGTAAAACTGTCTTAAGTTTGCGGATATTTAAAGTCAAATTATTAAACAGCTCTGCTTTTAAAAAGATCTTCCTGTTTTGTTTTTCCCCCTTATGTAACAGAGGGGAGGAAGTCCTATTTAGTCTATCTGGACCGTGAAACTAGAGCGAATATTAATACCATTTTTATAAGCTCGGTGTTTGATACCAGAGAGACATTTTTAAGAAGAGGGAAGAAAAAGTGCTGAACCACTAGGTAAATAATAAGATGCCAAATTGGGTATATAAGCCTGCATCATACCATCAGGCTTTAGTAAAAATTTGTAATGCATTTGGGGTGAACTATTTGGCAGCTACTTTGTAATGTTTGGCACTTAGGTAATATTATATATTTTCTAAATAACAAAGCAAAAATAGTGAGGTGAAGTCATCCCGCTAAAATCGCACATTCATGCAAACATTACAAAAATACCAATCTATGGAGTGAGGAAGAGAAGGATTGACAGTCCTTTTAAAAACAAATGGGTAAATGTTGATATTAAAGGCACTGTTTTTGCTGGAACTGAACTGTGGAATGGCAGACACAAAAGACAGTGGTATGCACACACCTCTCCAGCCAGCATGATATAGGGGGTTGTTCCAAGTCAAGGCTGTAAAAGGACTGGCATGACCTTTGGAAATCAATGAGGGAGGATGTGAGAAGTAATCAGGGCTGAGTGTTCATGAACTGGAGAAAAATTGTGTGTCTTGTCTGCACTTCAGCGGCGATTTGTGAAGAGGTGTCACTTGAGCCAAGGCTTGAATTGCAAAAGAGGATGCTGCAACAGTGATGAGCTCTTAAACGTGGTGGTGTACTATGTTCTGGCTGGCAGGAGAGAGTTCAACCTACAAAGGCCAGGTAAAATTGCCAAGAGGTAGATGGACACCTTAGCAGTAACATGTTAATATTAAGTTTGCCTTATAGTAAGGGCTTGGTTGTGTCACCTTTGTCTGCTCGTTAGACAAATTGGACAAAGAGCTGAGTCTCCCTTCTGCCTGGCTTCCTAATGTATTTGTACTACAGGGAATACCAGAAAATATTTCTTTCTACCAGCTACGTGGTGAACACGTAGTTTTAGTCATGTAGCTGTGAGTGTGCCAGCACTAGGTAGATGCTACATGGAAATGCTTTATACTTCTCTTTTATGTTCAGGAGAGGAACCAGATATGCCTGTCTACTGTCCTGTATCCTCTGATGGAGAGACAAGAAAACACAATTTCATTTGTGAATCTGTGCTTTGATTGTCCTGTGAGAAATTTGAAACTCTCTGGCTAATCTGTGCTGGGTTTTTGCTGCTTAGTTGTCTGCTGTGAAGGTGTCTGTAGTCAGACAGCTAGCTATGAAACAGAAGGTGCAGCCACACCATCTGGTTTTGTAATGTCCTGTGTCATGCCAAACAAGATTAGACTCCTAAGCTTGAACAGGAGATCTGCAGCTGGTAGTTAGGTGTTTCAGTTAACAACATTGCCAGTGCTTCCTTTTCAGCTGAAAGAGCGAGCTTGTGTTGGAATGATCAGTCCTGCTGGCAGGGCTGTCCTCCAGTGAAGGTGTGCAAACAAGGCCGGATCGTCCGGTTGCTTTGGCAAGGAGAGGCTAAAAAGGAAATTCCAGTTTAGAGGTTGTATCATGGCTAATTAGAAAAAAAATAAACCCACCAAATGCTACTTTTCTAAATTCAGTGTAAATGTTCAAGAAAGTATTTTCATTCTCTGAGTAACAGTCTTGCTCTTTACATAAACTCATAATAGGTCCACCTGAGATCAAAACTCCATGTGTGGAGGGTATTGTGCAAACAGCCCACAAACAAGCTGCACTCTAAGGATGAGAGTGGCGTAGGAACAAGAGGGACACAAGGTCAAAGGGAGGTGAGGTGACCGACTTGTAGTCACTCAGTGGGTCAGTGGCAAAATTGATAGAGGCACTCTTGCTTTGTAAACCAGTGCCTTGCTATAGGCGTAAGTGCTGAACACTAGTGCTATGAGCAATAACTTTCTTCCAAAGATCAGGGTTCGATTTCCGTAATTTCAGACTTGTGAAATCCTTCTTTGGGAATAATATGCTATGTTTTGAATGAAACTGTTGGCAAACTGGAAACTCAGTCTCCGGAGTCATCAGTTGTGTAAGTTAGGCTTGAAAGCTTTGGTCTATGTCTTTACAAAAATTATTTACAGCATTGTCACTGGTTTCTAGATATGTTTAGATGGAAATTGCTTGTGTTGCCATGGAATGTGAATTCAGCTGATCTGAGAACCCAGACTGGCTGGTGCCAGACAGTGCTGGTGTTAGTGATTCTGTTGCTGAAGTTGACATGATCTGTGAAGCAAAGTATGGGATCTTCAGGGATCCAGTGGATTTTCTTTGTTAACCAACATGATTTCTGTGCCTGGTAGAGTGGGGATTCAACCTGGATCAGTATGGTGCTCCTGAAAGATTCTGATGATTGGATTTTGCAGTTTCTGCACTGAAAATCTTTTGGTCAGTGGATTCATAGGAAAAAGAAGGTGCTAGTCCCTGTGTCAGAGTCCCATGGAAACAGATGTTTGCTGTTTCTTCTCTTTTTAGACCCAACATTGGTACTGTTAGATATCATGTTTGCAGATGTAAACACTGAGTCAATCTGTATCTCTGCAGGGCAAATCTCTTCTCTTTGACCCGTCAGCCACCACCGTTAGGCTTATCTGTGTCTCTGCTCTGTAACAGTGAGCTGGACCTGAAAGGGGTTAAGGTCATGCTGCCATCAGCTGAAAGAAGTGCAGAGCTGAGATCTTAACCCCTTCAAGCTCTGCTTGCAAAGCGATGGGGTTTTTCTGGCAGCAAAGTGAGTAACTGATATGAGAAAGTATAATGCACACCTGGTGGTAAGTACCGGGGCTAGTAGTAGCAGCTGTGTTTCAGGAAAGCACAAGCAATGGCACATCTACCTTATCTGATCCACACAAAGGTGGAAGTTCACATGGGTGGCTGGTTGTTTTAGCATCTTACTGGGAGAGTTACTTAGAGAAGCTTTGCTGGGACCATCCCTTCTTCCTCATTGCTCACTTCTGGGTCTGAAACACAATGTCCTCTGGGAAGGCCTTTAACTATGTGGACGTTATGCTCCGGCAGTTGTTAAAAGAAGCTTCCAGAGCCTTTGGATGACCATAAAAAATACTTCCTAGGAAATTAGGCAGCTCTTCATTAACTGTCTTTTAGTTTGATTGTCTAAGGTTCCTATTCTTTGGTGCTAACTCCATAGCCGCCTCATTAATGTGCAGGTAATGGTCCTTGATGCCTTTTGTTTGTTTGTTGTTTTTTTTCCCCCCACAGCTGTGTGTTGCATCTGGTAGTTTTGAAGAGGCCAAATGGTGTTTACAATCCAAGTGAGTTTTGCTTTTCTCTTTGTTAGATGCTGGCCAAAGCAAGTGTCGATTAGAGAGAGCTCAAGCACTGGAACAGGCAAAGAAGCCCCAGGAAGCAGTCTTCATCCCAGAATGCAATGAGGATGGATCATTCACGCAGGTAAAACTTCTATTGGCTTCCTTCAGCCAGGCTCTCAGTGGCTGCAGGAGATTTACCATTAATGCATGAGCCAATTGTTGACAGCACCATGTCTGACTCAGTTACTCAGGTGAAGGTGTTGAAAGCTGGGGACTTGTTTAACTAAGTGGAGGCTTGGATTTGGTCACTCTACCTTAAAAGACCCATACATATATATCAGTGTCTATCTCCAGTGTAGAGCAGAAACAAATGGCATCAACCTCCAGTATAGCACAGAAACAAGAATAAATTGCAGGGGAGATCAATTTTTCCTTGAAGACGAGCTGCAGAGAGCTGTGGCTCACTCAGAACAGGGTGGACTAAGCTGCTTCTGCTGTTACCTATGCTTCATTTATCCCAGCAAAAAAGAGTGATCTGTTGAGCCTCTTCCCTCTGCAAGGTACTTGCTAGTGACAGACTTCTCTTTCCTGTTCTATGCACTGCTGTGGTTTGGGGATCTGGCAGGGAGATGATGAGACTGGGTCGGTCATGGGGATTGTAGACTCTTTCATGATGCTGCTTCTCTTGGGAAGCAGCTGTCTCCGGCAGGAGTAGGAGAGGAGGCTTATGGTTCATTGGCATTTAATATCAGTGAAAAACTAGCAGTCAGTCCTTGTTGCTGAGTATCCTTCAGAAGCAACTGGATTGGGAGAGGTGCTACAGAATTCCAGAGAAGCTGAAGTAGTTATGGCAAAAAGAAAGTCCTTGTGAAGGAGATTTTGAGAGGAAGAGTAGTTTGCTGAGGCAGGGTAGAAATGATGAATGATTCTTGATTCTCTTACCACTGGCATACTGAGTAGTGTCCCAGTGCTAACTGAACTGGATGTTAAAAATTACTCATGCGCTTCCCTAACGGGTAGGAGAGATAGACCGTCTGCTCAGTTTGGCATGCATCTCAAAAGCCATCCTGCAACCCTGGTGACCTCTAGTTTGTTAACTTAGGTAAATCACACAACTCTTCTTGCCTTCACTTCCCTATATCTAGCACTGCTCTAGAGATCTTGTGCCTCAGAGAAATGTTAGGATTTATTAGTTGTTGTTTACAAAGTCTTTTGAAGGTAAAAAATAAATAAATCCAAAATACAATCAATATTGGCTTCAAAAAGATGAGAAAGACAAAAAGCTTTGGGGTTGGTTCAAACACTTTGTGATGCCTGGGGGAAGAGAAGAGGAAAGATTATTTTTTGTGATAACCCACCAAAACTTTTTATTCCCCCCTCCTCAGCCTTACCCTCCCATTATCTGGTGTGTGGGAGTGTTTTTGGTTTTTTGGTTTTTGTTTTATTTTTAATGGTGAAGTGGGAAAAGCCTTATCCATCCTGCCAACTTTGTATACCTCATTGGAGCAGCATCATATTTGTGTGCAGTGTGGATTGTCTTGGGAAGGTGGGGTAAGAGAGAAGGTGGCTTCCATTTCTTGCAGTCCAGCTACACTTTCTTTTGCTGAAATTTGATTTTGCATAGAGCTGCTCAGGTTATATTGGCACTGGAAGGGAATTCTTTTAAAACCTAGCGCAGTGGGCCAACTAAGTGTTCCGTGTTAAACTTTATAGTTCAAGAAAAAAGGGGAAGGAAAGCCGACTTTCCAATGTCTCTGTCACCTGTTCCTTGGCCTCTTGGAGAGTAAAGAGGGGGATGCAGGTGACATTTTTTTCCTGATAAGGTGTTCTGAGAATGCAGTTGACAAAGCTTTGCTTCAGACAGGTTTATTCGGAAGGTTGGTACTGGTGTTGGGATTGCGGAGCAGTTGCTGGGCCTCTTTTCTGCACATTCCCTGGCCAGTGTGGGTTGCTAGTGGAGGGGCAGCATGAAACTGCTTACAAAACTGGTGTGTTTTCAGCTGGCAGCCAAGTGATATTTCACATTCTTCCTCCATTCAGTCCTATCTGTGAGAGCTAAAATACTTTTGTTTTACCTGGCATGATGAAGGAAGCCTCTGATCCCTTTGTGACTGGAATTAACTGAAATTCATATCGTTCCTTGGATCATAAAAATACCCCACATTCCACATACTTCAGGAACCAGCTTCATCATTTATAATGCAGCATTTCAGGTCGTTGTCCCTGCATAAGATGTAAGTGAAGAACAATGTTGGAGGAAGCTAACTGGTTTCAACCTGCATTTGAGACAAATATTTTGTTAAGCTTCTGATCCAAATTAATTAAACTTTGTGTTTTGTTTTGTTTTGTTTTCTGAAAAGGATATATAAAAACTAGGATTTTGGTGAACAGTCTAAACAGTTTTTGCTTTCAGCAACTCATGAATAGATCTCATCCGGTGGAGGTGGTTTGGATACTGCATCTCTTGTGCAGAGAATTGGCTCCTGCAGGTTCTGCTCTGTAGGGAAGCTTTGTCGGCTCCTGGAATTCCTGAGGCCTTGTTGAAGTCAGCTCTGAACTGTTACTAGTTTATTCTGGTGCAGTACCCAGAGAGCTGCTCCATCCAAACTCCGAAATCTCAGTTGGGAAGTCCAGAACACAGCAGCATCTTTCAACAAAAGTTGATCTTCAGCCTTGTATCCTCATCCAAACAAGAATCTAAGCAGATGCGTGTGTTTGGGGTCTACTCTATTCATAGAGTTGGCTAGGGAAATTTTTCTGCAACTTCTTCCCTTCTGTGTAACTGTTATTGGAGGAATACTTTTGGTAGAAATCAGAGGAGAAACAAAGATATGTGCATATATTTAGAATATCAAATGTCTCAATTGTTATAGCATTCACTCAAGATGTGGATGACTTGCTTTCAGGTCATGATCTGAGTCTCTTTTTTGTAGATGCGTATACGGTAGATGTTCAGGCCTACATCATCATCCTTGCCATCAGGCTTCAAAAGGTCTGGGGTTTTGTCTAATTAATTGTTGGAAATTCTTGAAAGTTTTGCAGGATTGAAAGACATGAAGGGTGGAGGTTTGGGAGCTGCATCTGGTAGTGGTAACTATGTTCACAGAACCTGCTGCTTGGTCTTAACCAGACTGAACTGTTGCTTTTGTGGTTTATCATCCTCCTCCTGATTAGAAACTTAACTACAGTCGCTGTGGGTAAACACTGAAGCAGCACTAAGTGAGTCTGTTCCTCTGAAAGCGGCTTGAGGCCTGAAGGCAAAGACCTCGCTTTGGTTTGCATTTAAACTCTGCATTAGAAGGATGTCCTGTGTGTCTTGAACATTTGTATAATCTGTCTGTATTTCACTGAGTGTAAAATCTAGACCAAAAAGGAAGCGTTGCCACTGATTCTATTGCTTGAATGGCCAGTTTTCCTAGGCATGACTAATTATAGTGGGTTTCGTGTACTGTGTGAAGAGGAGCAGGCACTTTTTAATTCACTGGTTTTCATAACTGTTTCTATGTACCATGTGTGCTGCTTCCCTTATTCTGGGAGTTTGTGTATTGCAGAGATCTTATCAAATCCCTTTTCAGCACTGCTTACGTATCTAAAAATGTGGTGTGGGTTTGCAGCATGGAAGAGGTGATGGCACTGCAGGTGTGATGGAGTGACTGTAGATGGGAGCATACCCAATTAATTGCTCTGGAATTGATATTTCTTCATATTTCAGTCTGGTTGGGGAATATTACTTCCTATAACAAAAGCTCTCTGCACTTAGTCCACAGCAATGTCGGGACACAGATAAAATTTAAGTTGTTCACAGCAGAAGAATGTTTATTTCATATAAGTAATTTGATTAATTGTATAAAGCTGAGGTCACGTACTGTTGTGCAAAATTGGACATGACTGAAACCAGCTTCTGTTCCCAAGACTTGTGCTCTCCTATTTGCTCTTACGCTGCATTTTGCATAAATGCCATTCCCTTTCCATGCTGCACTTAACCTGCTGTGATCTGTTCTTCATAAACAACAGGCTCTATTGGGTAATCTGCTCACTTTCTCTTGCTGCCTAGTGCCATTGGGCTTGTTGCCATGGGCTGAGAGAGACTTGCATTCTTCATAGTTTTCCCTCAAGCAGTTTTTTAGAAAAGGTTGCTGAGGTTTTAAACGAGATCTGTTTCAGACAGATTAATATGAACATGAATAACGTTTAACCCTGCTCCGGGGGTGTAGTCTTGTGGGGCTTTTTGTGGTGCTATTTGCCACCACCTTCCACTGTCTAGCTGTGGTTTCTTTTCCTTGCAGGTCTGCATACAAGTGGCTGAGAGCAAGTCTCCTTGGAGAGTTTGAGTTGAGGGCTCTCAAAACTGCAGCTGCAGGGTGCAGTTACAATTCAGCACCGAGATTATTCCTAAAGCCAATGCGTCGGTCAAACCTGTTGTCTTCTGAGAGGATCAGTGAGTGGGCTGACTTTCTCAGAGCAGATTTCTATTATCAGATAGCTGCCAGAGAATTCCCACATCTGGTACTACAAGTCTTGTTTGGAAAACAGTCCATAGCAATAGTTTCGTTCTGTGCTGTGCTAATGCATGTACAAAATATGTCTTTCTCCTAAGTCCCACAGACAGACCCCTTTCTAAAACAAGTGAGGAACCTTCTCAGCCTTAATGTGACTTCATGATCCAAGTCTGTTCCTCTGCATTGGCTGGTGTAGCACGATGCTGGGCAGAATTACAAACTCATTTCTTAATGCAGCACAGTGCTGCGGGGCACTGTGTAGACATGTCCCGCATTCCCTGGGTGCTGTCTATTATTCCATTATTCAGTGCTTATACTCTAGCAATACTAAGCTCTCAAGGACTTAACCTCTCCTTTCAGAAGGAAAGAACACAGTCTGTCTTGCTACATGAAAGAAACTCTTTCTTTATAAAGAATCTCAGCTTTAATTAGCAGATAGTTCTGGCTTTTTTTTTTTTCTTTATTAAAAGACATCTCTACTATAAAAGATTGGAGCTGGAGCTCTCTGAATACTGCTCTGCAGATTTGTCTTTCTTCCTGCAGCTCTCATTGTGTTTCTTGTTTGTATATTGAGATAAAGTTAGCCTGTGGGTGAGTAAGGAGATAGCAACTTCGGCTATTCATGGCATTTTTTCAAAGTACCACCAGTCAGGAGAGCAAAGGAAAAGATTCTTAAAGCAGGAGTGGACACCCTTAAGGAAAGTGACAATGTAAGATCATTCCTAACTTTAAAAGGTCACATTCTGTGCCAGAAGCAGAGAGCCTCTCTTGGGATACCTCTCCTGAGCTAAAAATGGTACCTGTGCCAGAGTGTGTGTTGGGGATGCCCTTGAATCATGGCTGAGATTCTTTTGCCACAAATCACTTCTTTCCCTGGTTATATAAATAGTAAAATTCCTGTGGAGCAAGCATTTCTTGAATGGTGCATAAGCTTGAGGGAGGTAGCTGCTGCATAAAGGCCCAGTGGGATTGTTTGTCTGCATCATTTAGGAAGAACTAAATGTGAGCAGGGAGCAGAAAAAGTGACAAAAATTATTAAGGGGATGCAGTCCCAAAGAAACTTAGACTTAAGGTGCAGACTGATTCATGGCTCCTTAAAATTGCCTGCAAGGGTAAGGCAGGCTTTTGACAATTGTCAGCTGACTCTTCATCCAGCAGGAAGCATGGCAAGATCCAGGGTCTAAGCAATACAGAAAGACAGTTAAACCAGAACAGAGACGCAACCACTTAGAGTTAGGATAAATAGCCACAAGGCTAATTCAGAGGACTTTCTATCTGAGCCTCAAGAGCTTAAAAAAAGGAAAGGCTTGATAAAAGAATCGCTACATGACACTGCGGCTTCTGCTCTCAGGTCAGCCCAGATGACCTATGGGCTTGGAACAATTTATTTAGTTGTTTTTACAGTGTTTGCAATGGGCACCACGGTGCAGCCAGGGTTTGGAAGCCTTGCCTCCCGCTGTGAGTGTGAGCAGTACTCTGCTGCCTTCCCCCCCACCCTTAGCAGTGCCATTTGAAAACTGGATTTTTTTTTTCTCCTGTCATAGAATTATTGCTTTGAGTGCAGAAGGAATGTTTTTCTTTCCCTTCTCTCTGCTCTCTGTTATGGGTGGTTCCAGGGAATGTCTGATCCGTGATGGGACAGGAATTGGTTACCAAACTCTTCATCTTGACAGCAATGAAAGGCCAGTCTGAGTGTTGCTGTTCCCGTGCTCAGCCCAGTGTTGTCCAAAGCACTCTCAAGTCCCTTATGGTAAATGACTTCTCTCTGCCATTCTGTAGAGACTTGTTCAGCCATCACAGAATTACTGCTTTGCCCCTGTTGTCCCCTCATACCTGTGCATGCAATCTCTCTCCCATTTTCACTTTATCTTTTGGAAATAACCTCTTGATCCTCCCTTGTCAAATGGCTGAAAAGGGATGCTGCTGATTGCTTGTTGAGAAGCTTTGGGCTGCTTGAGAATCCGATTCTGTCACTGTCAGTAAGATACTGAAGAAACCCAAACAGTGGCTTCTTTTTCCCCCTGCAGGAAATGAAGAGACAGAGTCATCTGCCAGTGACTACACTTTTAATGTTCTCATATTGTAGTGAACTTAATGAGAGCAGGTGTTTATTCATTTGCCCAGTGGCTAGTATGTGAGCTGCTGTTTGATTTCACACATCTTAGAAGGGGGAGGGGAATAGGGGAGCTGCTGCTCCACTCTCATTTTGGCAGTGGTGGCAGGGCGGTTCTTGTTGGATTTGTCCCTCCTGCTTTTCATCCTTCAGTTGAGGCACAGTTGAGATGGCATATCTCTTGCCCCTGAAAAATACCAACAACATCCTCTTGCTGCATGGTCAGGGATTTAGGTGCTTGTGGGACTTTAAACAGCACTTGGATATTTTTTTTTTTGAGATATTAATGAGGAATTTGTTGAAGGACCTCTAATGATTTGCAGGTTTTATTTCTCTGATTCCTTGTTATGTAGCTTAAAATGTTCAGCTGTTGGACAGGTGTATGTTAATTTGAGATTTCAAACTCAATCTGTCATGTGCCTTTTGAGAAGTAATGAGTGTTTGGTAGCCACAGCAATCAAGTTTTATTTTGTATATAAAATTGATAATGTATTTTCTCTGACACAATGCTTAGCTTTTAGAAGACAGGAAGCCAGAAGTCAAATGCACTTTTTTTAATAAGTGTTTTGGCAGAACCCAGATTAATTCAATAATTGACGATTCAATCTGTGGAGTAAACAGTCACTTTTACACAGTTACTCTTCTAACAGTTTAAAACTTTTGCCATTATGGAAGTAGGATTAGAACGAGGTTGAATTTCTGGTAAACAGGATTTAAAAACAAAGACTTGACCCTAAGATGATTGGAAAAATTAAAGTAACACCCCAGATTTTCAACATTCCTTACTATAGATGCTTGGAAATATTTGACGCTTTACAGAGTTTGTGTGTACACCTAGTCTTTAGAAATGGTAGCAGATCAGCTGTTGCCTTAACACTTTTTTCAATGCTGTACCCATGCTATGTAACTGACCAAAAGTATGTCAGATTTTTTTTCCTAGCCCTTAAGCTGCAAACTCTAGGCTGTAGGCCACTGTTATGACACCTAAATATGCTGAGACCTGGTCAGGTGTCATGGTGAAAGGTAGCATCTCTCAAAATCAAGATGTTCAGGGAAGCCAACTGCAGTGATTTTTGAGGTTTCTGAAGTGCCCGTTCTTCACAGATAGTTGTGTGGCCTTTTACGATATGATCTGAGATGTAATTGTTGCCATTACTCATAGCAGGGAAGTCCTTTGGTGCTGCACTAGAACATGTGGTTGTTGTGAAATGGTGGCAGGGGAAGAAAGGGTCATGGGATACCAGTCTGAGGAAGACCAGCATTCCTTAGCCGAGTTATTTACAAAATTACTTCGCTTTTGTGGATGTCATGTGCTTGGCTTGCATAAATGAATGTATGTTATCGGTAGCTCTTCACTGAGGTGAGATGCATAACATGTTCTTAGTTAATGCATCTATCCTAAATTTATGTCAAGAACACTTTCTGGACTCCTTTGCCATGTACTTTGTTATTTTCTGAAGGCTTCGCTGAAGGACTATCAGGTCACTAACATTTGAATTTCTTTAGATGTTGATGTTTTGGTTGGGTTTTTTCCTGTTGTGTAACATCCTGCCCTACAAATTCAAAATCCTAACCTGGAACTTGGCTTTGTCTCTGGGTGAGATTTTTACAGTTAATGCTCAGATGTAAAGACCGCTTCTTGTGCTGTTGGGAATGCAATAATGTGTGTGTGATCAGCAAAGATAAACACTAAACACTGAAACCCAATGCACGATTGATTAGATTGAGCGAAAGAAATATTTTGCAACTTGATTATTGCTAATTATGTTCATAGTGCTTTTGAGTAAATTGCACCATTGAGTAAATTGCAATCAATTTTGTGATACATTGAGGGAATAAAAATGAAAGTGTGCAGATAGCAGAGACAGTGACTTTAGTAACATTGGTTCATGAGATTATTGTTGATTTTGGCTGCTAAAAGTGCATTTGCTTGAGGCAAAATGATTGATTTGTGCTTTAGTAAACCCCAAGATAAACACGTGGTACTGTGTTATAATTGCTCTTAGATCATGTTTTATGTGATAGTCGGAGCCTTTTAAAAAGACTGTCGCTAAGTCTCTGAACAAACTCTCTACCTTAGGGAATCGAAGCCAGCTGTCAGCAAAGGGGAATGAAGTTCAGTTCTGAAGGATCCCTAATGAAGGGAATGGCACAAACACCCCATCACTCTTCTGTGTGGAGAGGGCTGGAAGGGGAAATCGGCTTCAGTGAACTTCTTTGAAAAAAGAGAGAATGGACAGAACTCAATTTACAAGTGAAATAAAAAGGCAGTTTCTGAAGTGATCTCATTTCATGGCTTTTTTTTCCCAGAAATGTATTGAAGGCGCCTTCTCTAGCTTATAGTAACATAGGCATTTCTGTACCATTTCCAGGTGCTGCAAGTACTGATGTGCACACTCAGCCACAACTGCAAGCGTGTTTGCTAGAAAAGATTTTGAAACCTGTTAGTATTTACACAGATGCCTGTATGATGTTCATTTACTTTTGTCTCAAGGGAAGTCAAAGGCATCCCAAATTTCATCCAAATGCTGACCACTCCGTGAAAGCTGAGGCAAAGGCTGTAATTAGATTTGTCAAGCTGGATGAAAATATAGTGCCAATGAACTAATATCTGCATGCGTAGATGTTTCTAAGACCAGTCTGCTTGGTTGGGGCTTAGCTATTATCATTTTAAAGGTCCACATCTGAGGTAGTCATTCTGTTTTCCTTCTGTGGTAAAGGAAGGAACTGGGCAACTTTAGATGTTCAGTTCAGAAGTTAAGCAAGATGGATCTTATGCTGTGTATTCTTTGGCTCATTAGAGCCTTCATCAAATGCTTTTAAGTCCTTGTCAGTACATGAATGGCAAGCATGTTGGATCTTGCTCCTACCTGCTAGGTTGACATAGTAACAAGAGAGAGCTTAGATTTATCCAGAGAAGGTTTGCTAATCTAACAAGTCAGTGTTGCATTTTTTCCAGCCATGTTTACTGAACAAAATGCTCTTGAAATGTCCACAAATGCTGTTTGCAAGCAGCAGCAGTGGAACTGGGCCAGGATGGCCTTTCCACATCCCAGCTGGGATGCAGTGGGACACCTATTTAATGGTAAATAGTAAACAGGGTTTAGCAGAGGGTGGAATAAGCTGAGATACAATTGCTGCATCCTCAGACTTGAGTGTTCTCAGTTGACTACTTATAACTTCTTTTGCCTCCTGAATTGCAGCTAAAGGAGTTGGAAAAATAACCTTTCTTTGGGGAGGGAGGTGAGGAGAGAAAGAAAAGATAACAGCATCAAAGGTACTCTTCTGTATGACCTCTTCACTCTGAAGCATGCGTTTCTGATGCACTTGTGTTGGGACTTCCACTAAGATGCTGGATTATAATAAAAATGGTGGGTGACAGAGTAAGAAATGAAATGCCTGCTCTTTGTTTTATTAAACAGGTGCAGTGCCATACCTACACTGGATACTGCTGGTGTGTGACACCTGATGGCAAGCCTATTAGCGGCTCTTCTGTACAGAACAAAACTCCTGTATGTTCAGGTACTGTGGGAGTGTCTTCAACAAATACTAATTTAATAACCAAAAGGGGTCTGAGGAGAGTGTGTCCTGTTGAGAGTGCTTAATATTTTCAGGTGACTGGACGAGTTTACCCATTTTAACAGTGCAGTTGTAATCTTCCTGTGTGCTTGAGGGCATTTGGAAGCTGCAAGGGAGCTTGGACTGTGGCATGTCCACCCTGCAGTTAGGGCACAGGCACTCCTGCAAGGCTCACTGAGAAAAAACACTAAGGAGACAGCCTGTGGTAGCCAAGGCAAGAGTCACTGTGTGGCTGTGTACACCAAAACTAGAGATTTCTGTAATGGATGGGACAACTTTTTTCCATGGGCTGTATTTTAAAGAAGTGATTGTCAGGCTTTATTTAGTGGGCCATGGAGTGATTTTGCCTTCAGAATGACTTCAGTTTGATAAGGTCCTTCTGTGAGAAACTGCTAGCCCCTGAGAGCTGGGGTTCTGGTGTTATTATAGATTTGGGGACATTGATCATGTTGCTCAGCTCCAGGATTCCCATGTTTGTGTCATGGGACTGGACAGCACTGGGCTTACACCACAGCTCACAAGAGGGAGAATCTGCACCCCATGCATGTTTAATGTATTTCTCTTCTCATATCTTGCAGTGTTTGCCCTTTAGATGGGAGCATGACAGCAGACAAAAGTTCGAGGGGTCTTTGTTGGGTTGGGTTTTGTGTGTTTTTTAATCCTTCTCACCTTATTTAATGTCCTTTGGGCTGTAGGGTGTTTTGTGGTAATAAGCAAGCAGTGACTTGCATGATGGTTTGAGCTGAGTGGGAGAACTGTCTGGGAACCAGTGAGTCAATGTAGCTTGAGGGAATGCTTGGTGTTTCACAGGTACATGGAAAGAAAATAAGATTAATATCCTGTTCTAGCGTAAGGTGAAATGCTATGGTAACTTGGTTTAGAATATTACTTTTTACCACCATTTGCAGTATATGGTTTTGGTAGGGCATGTTTTAGCATTTTTGCTGATCTATTCATTTAGTCCTGAGCTGTATAAAATTGCATTACCATGAAAGTAGAGTCATGGCGTATGGTGGGACACACAGATGTTAGGCCTATGATGACTATCACCATGTATGTGCTTCCTACTTATAATTCAGCAGTAGATCTGTGATGAAGTGATCTGCAGGTGAAAGTGCCTAGGCAATAGAGTTTAAAGTCTTTAGAGTTTGTCTTGACCAATCTCTTGGACCTGTCAGAGCTGCCTCCTTTGGAGCTGACTTTTGATCCATGTTTCCTGAAGGATCAGTAATCACTGGAACTGTTTAGTAATGGTGCACAGAGAAATCGGTTTCCTGGGAATAAATCTATATATATTTTTTATACATTTCAGTAATGGATTTGTTCAAAAAGCTTTTATTATCAGTTCGAGTTTTAGTGGAAAACTATATGATGAAACACTAAAGCAAACTGCAGAAACAAGTGTAGAATCATATATATTATGTGAAGATCTAAGTTATGTTAAAAAAACCCAAGATGTATTCTATTCAAGCACGTGCTGAATCTTATTCAGTGTCCCTTTTCAAACAGCTGGGGATATTCAGGGGTTGGTTGAAATCCATTTTCTGCAAATTGTCTCACTTAATTCCTTTCCTTTAGAATACTGCCCTTGCATTCCCTGCACACTCTCCCCACCTGTTTTTGATTTGGTCTTCCTATATTTGCAAACAAAAAGTGACTCTTACTGATCTTTTATTCTTGCCCTGGGATTTACTAGCACAGGTTTCTTACTAGCACGCTGTTCTGGGCTCTTTCAAATTGCTGGATCCTGCTACTAAAGATATCTTGTTTACCCTCATTCTGATTTAACATCTCAAAGCATAAAACTTCTGTGTACTATCCCAGTTGGTTGAAGCCACAGGCTCTCTGAATCCTAAGCTGAGCTATTGGCAAGTAAACCAGACACTTTGTGGATTGCAATATTGGCTGTACTAGTGTGACATTACATGTTCTGTGTGATCATGCAGCATCTAACTAGATGTCTGTCTTTTTCCTCCCCTTTAGGTTCTGTAACAGATAAACCATCAAGCCAGGGTAATTCAGGAAGGAAAGGTGAGTGGAGTCCTGTGCTTAAGCAACTTGTTTCGTAATAGCAGCTGCCCAGCCAAGTCCCTTGAGATAACTCAGAACCTGGGTTCCTAACCAGCTCGATGTGCAGGAGGCTTATGTGCCTTTAGACCTTTCCCCTTCAGCACTTTCTTCACCACTCAGTGGAGTAGAAAACTGTGTGCTCTGCTCTGTGCTCGTCAGCTGAGATGTAGTACATGAAAGCAGAGCTTCCCAAAGGAGGACAGAATAACCTCTGCTTGTTCACTGTGCAGTTAACTACTGGGCATTCCTCAGTAAAACCCCTAGAGATTGGGAAGGCTATTGGTATGACTGGTACACTGGGAATCAGGAGTGCCAGTGTCATGATTGTGGCTTTATATGCATTGAAAGGTGGTTTTCTTAATGGAGCATAAATCCCTCTGGACAGCAGGAGAAGTGCTGGGACAGACCATAGCTGTGCTTGGAAACCTTACTTTTTGTTCATTGATCCTCCTCCTTTACACTCCTTGCCTTTCCTGAGCAAGGTAACCAGATGTGTCACTGTTCTCCTGTGTGCATTTGTAATCCTGCTCTGTGTTCTCTGACTTGCATTCATTGAAATAATCCTGGGAGGGGTGACCACTGAAGTATACATCGAGGAATAGTCAAGTTTGTCTTCAGGCCTTCTCCACACCCTGATTTTCAACACTTCTCCCCTCTACCCCCCCCCCATTTAGAGTCTACTTTTGAGTTTGTCTCCTTACTACAGGAAGAGAGTGCTGAATGCATCCTCACTCCTGCTGGTGAGGACAAATGCTGTTCCCTGGGAGAAGTTCCTGTTTTGTCATCTGAAGCAAGATTTTTACTGCTAACTCTCTGAATCAATTACTCCTGACATTTCAAAATGCAGGAAAATGCCTACCTTGATGGCAACACTTTAATTTGAAGAACACCTTCCTTTCAATCCAGCCCTGAAAACACTTAGCAGGAATTATAGATTGCTATGCTTAAAAGCAGTGATGCATTTTGAACATATCTCCTCTCCAGTCTATTGGTTCTGTATAGTAACTTAGTAAAAGGTAGGGAGAAGAAAGGTGCAAAACTACTTAACGTTAAGACTGAATGTTGAAGCCTGCTTCTTATTTTAGATAAGGATATGTCTCTAAACCTGCAATTACATGTTAATGTATAATTGGCACCTAAACACATTGTTATCATTCTGTTAATGCAATCATTGCTTAGTCTAGCCTGAAGTACAAGCAAATTGAATAGCTCTTGAAATCTGCATTATTTTTGAGTGGCTTGTTTGTAGTCTTCCTACCTGGATAGTCCTAGTCTCTTCTAGAATTGGAAGCAGCTGACACTGAATTTCATAAGAAACAGGAGCAAAAGGGGAAAATATCTGAACTTGTGTTTTCCGTTTCACTGCCTTTAACTCAGAGTTTGGAACATACCAAAAAAAGAATAAATGGAATGAATTAATCTAAAATTTGTAATAGGAATTGTTTTCTCCTTGGTGCTGCCTGTGGCATCCTGTTTCAAGAATGGTACGCTTGGTCATGTGGCTGCAGGAGCATTCTAGGCAGTAGCTGTCAAGACAGGGAAAATGTTTCCCCTTGGGCCAGCATGTTGCAAACAATCATGTAAACTGTCTCCTCCCGTTCCAAATCTGTTCATATCTGTTGGAAGCCCCCACACAAGTCACTTTGGCCTTTCTCCTTCATGTTAGAAAAATACTTGTGAGCAATTTATTTAATAGGTCTTTTAAAATCCGGATGGCTTTTAGAAGATGAAATGATTTGGTTTAAAATTTGATGGAGTTAGCATTACTTTTTTGGCTACTGATGAATGCCTTATCTAAAAATTAATTTGACTCTTATCAGTGTTTTTTCTTGACTTAAATTACCTTGATTATAAACTCCTCTATCAGGTTGTAAGGAAGTCAGAACCAAGAACAGCCTGGCTTCCTTGAAGCAAGCTGATCACTGGAGTTCTGGCTTTTCTGAAGACTGGTGGCTAGCAAGTGTGCATATAACCATCCATTCTAGCCAAGTGTTCAGACTCTTTCTGCAACGATTGCCCTGTACAAGAAGACAAAAAGGGCAGGATGAAGAGGGGTCCAGGAGGAACTGGGTCAGTGATAACCTTTCTGTTGTAGAAGGACATCTTGGACATCACGTTGGACAACTGCTATCTGACTTGGGAGCTTTTAGACTTTACCCACTGCACAGCAGACTTCTCTCTCCATCTCTCTGAGTTAAAGAGCATTATCTGGCACAGAATATGTGCTCTCAGGAGGAAAAGGACTAGTTTAAACTCTCAAAAGTGATCTCCTTTGTCCCATTCATACAGGAATGTAAAATATGGAGCTAATAAACTTTGTGTGATGCTAGTGCCTCTCAAGTCTTCAGGGCAAAATATTTTTTTGGGTGGAGGCTGTTCTGCCTTAGAAACACTGCAGATGGGGGTAGGCTTAAGCTGTTGGGTAATAAATGAAGCGTTTACTAGTGTATTAGCTCTCCTTTAGAAGAAGCAAATTAGTGCTGGAAGGAGAAAAAGGCTAGTTATTGGTAATAACTGTCTTTCTCCAGATGTTTTGACCTCTTTTCCCTTCTGTTTGATTCTAGATTTCTAGATTTTGATGTCTGATTTCTAGGGGTCTACAGGTATGATGGAGGCACCAGAATATGTAATGTGATTCCACTCACAGGCTCTCTCACTACTGATGAAAAGAAAATGAAATGGCTTTATGGTCACGTGGCTTGGCATGTAGTTCTAGAAGCAGCTCTGTGAAGCTCTCTGCAGAGAACAGGCAAGAGTGCTGGAAAGAAGTCCTTTTTATTTTTAAATCCCATGCTCTGGTTGCCCATATTTACATTGATGCTATTACTATATGATGCAATGCTAGTTACTCAAACAATTTGTCCTGTAAGGTAGTTTAAATCAAATTAAATTGACACCAAACTTAAAACTTTAAAGTAGGATGTATTGATTTGTTCTGTGTCAGAAGTGTTCTGTTGCTGGAAGACAGAGCAGACCTGGGCCTGGGGAGGTGGAGGCATGTTTATATGAGGTGGAATGGAAACCCACATTCTCTAGGGCATGCTCTGTGTGTGGACCTTGCAGCTCAGACATTTACTGCCATGCTCTCTATGCTGAATTCATCCCGCAAGTGAAGAACAGGTTTCCAGGACCGTTGTCAGAGGGGATGCAGTTATTCTTGTGTGGGATTAGGATATCCAGAACCTGCAGATTTGTGTTGCTGTCCGTTCCTTATTCCAGCTTGTTCCTGTACAATCCTTTCTCTTAAGAATCTTCTTGTACTAATTTACTCCAGTTGCTGCTTAGTTTGAAAGGCCTGAGAGACTTGGAAGATGCACGCTGTCCCCTAGAAGGCTGAATCTCCCCCCTCTCTCCCACTGTGGGAGGTTGTTAATGTTTTAAGAAGCAGTGAAAGGCATCCTTGGAGCCAACATGGACTGGATTTCTTCCCTGTCTAAAGAATGCAGAATGTTCCTTTCCAGCCAGAGGGAAATTGTGCCACACGTTTGAAACAAAACAAGCAAACACGAAACAAAACAAAACTTTATTTTCTTTATCTGAGGAATTCTGGGGCTTTAGTAGCTTAAAGCTACAGATCTGGCATATTGCAGCCATGAGTAGTGTCTTTCTCAGTCATCAAGCGTGTTTTAAAAAGTAGGCTAGTCAGGAGACAGAGGGATGTAAAAAGCAGCTGTGTCATTGCTTATCTCCATAAGGTCACTTGATATTCCTTCTTAAAGCTGGAACCTGAGTGAATTAAAAGTGGAGAAACTGAAAATGAGTGAAGAGGAAAAAAAATTCTATGTGGGAGTACTGTCTTGTTAGTGGTTGTTAGCTCTTCTTGACACTGGGAGAGAGATGTTGATACTCTTTTAAAATCAGCTGAATGAAGGAAATGGGAAAGGAAGCTTGGTTCTGTAGTATGGGATTAAAAGGTGATGCAAGTACAGGGTAGATATGGGCTGGATGAACTGCCAGTGTCAGTCATGAAGAGCCTTGAGTGATATGAACTCCCTTTTCCTTTCATAAAGTCTCTTGAAGCGCATAAAGTTCCAGGCATGTTTTGACTTGCTTTGTTTCTCTATTGCAAGAGCTGGCAATAGCATCTGCGTTCCCTGAACCTGGGGCAGATACAGTGATGCTGGTGAAGTGTAAGCTCTGAGGGCCCCATGAAAGGCAAAGCTGGGGTTGAGCTGGTTTTATGCTTACTGTCTTGCATGTAGACAGGACTCTTGTACAGAGCTGTGAAAAGCTTTGCCCAGTGAGTTTACACCCTACAAGAAAACACTGAAGCAATTTGAGAAACTTAAGATGATCAACTTAAAATGCCTGTCAATTCAACATCTAGAGTTTGGTTCCTCTTTGTGGATTTAACTGTGAGAAATGGGCTTAAAGGGAGGCTTTGTTACAGGGAAATTCTCCACTGCAATTGTGGTCAAGTTGGCCCATTCTGTGGCTCACTTCCTGATGATTTCCAAGAGTCTCACCTCTAGAAAATGTTAACGGCCTGGTTGAGCAGCCAATAGACTGAGCAATTTGAATCAGTAATAAGCCCATTAGTCTGAGTCAGTAATTTGAGCAGTAAAGGGTGAATGTTCTCCTCGGGCAAAACCAAGCGGAGGAGGAACCGTTTGTACATGGAGACCTGGAAGCTTTGTCCACTGGTGGTGAGAAGTCAGGTGCAGCTGGCACCAATCCACCTGCTGTCTGCTGGCAGGGAGAGGAGCAGTTAGTAGGTCTCAGAAGACAGATAAGATCTTCACAAAAATGTCAAGTTGAAATGTGTCCAAAAGCTGCAAGTAAGACTTTGGTCTCTACCTTCTCCAGTTCTTTCTGGATTCATCTGGGAACTGATCAAATCTGAAACAGAGCTGTGCTATTACACAAACCAAGTTTTAAGTGCCCAATTATTCTTGCCTCTCGGACCTCAAATACTGAGAAAATGCTCTGTGATGTCTTTAGCAGCTTGTGGAGGCTGCAGCA